TTATGTCATAAGTTTTTCCTCCAACTCCACTTTGTAAGAGTTTTAGGAAAAGTCCATTGTGCCACACCGAATCAAAGGCTTTTTTAAAATCAATGAAACAGCCGAATATTTTCCCTTGTTTGGTCTGGTGGACATGTTTTTGAATGAGTGTTTGGAGTGTGTAGATGTGATCTGCTGTTCTTTTTTAGGCATAAATCCAATCTGACTATTATTTAAAATCTTGTTTTCCTGGATAAACCCAACCAGTCTATCATTAATGATAGAGCAGAATAATTTCCCTTGGTTACTACTCACTGTGATGCCTCTATAGTTTTTTGAGTCATATTTCTCACCATTTTTAAATATTGGCGTGATTAAATTTTCCTTCCAAATTTCTGGAAAATGTCCTGATTCTAATAAGAGATTGAATAATTTCAAGATGGCGTTTTTTAATAGGGGACTGCTGTGTTTTAGTATCTCATTAGAGATTCCATCTGAGGCACAGGACTTTTTATTTTTTAGAGTTTTTAATTTTTCTGTTAACTCATTTAATTGTATTGGGATATCTAAATGGTTTAGTTGATCTTTAATAGTATTTTCTAATATATGTAATTGGGAGGTCAGATGTTTTTGTTCGATTCTTTGGATTGATTTAATTTTTTCCATAAATCCCCAAACAAATTCAGCTGTAGTAGTTTTTTCTTTTTTAGATTTGTATTTCAGATTTTTCCTCAATGTTTTTTGAGCAACTGTTGAAAAAATATTGGTCAGCTGTTCGGTTGCTAAATTTATAGTTTGTTCCTCTTTACCAAATGAAGTCAGTATGAATGTATTGATCATGTTCTCCACTTGAGTGTTGTGGAGCTCTGCTTCATACTGGGCAGGACTGTCTTTACTCCAGATTAATTTAGGTGGCAGGGGATGCAGTTTTATTTTTTGTTCTTAGAATAGGCAGGCATTCTGTGATCTTTTCAGACTGAGAACAATGTGGTTGTGGTCTGAAAACGGCAGTTGTGGCATCACTGTAAAATAATTAATTATACTGTGGTCTCTCTCTCTCTCTCTCTCTCTCTCTCTCTCTCTCTCTCTCTCTCCACACATTGAAATAACTCAAGTAAAATTAATTTCACAAAACACTATATAGACATTTTACAATAAAAACTACTGACTAAAACATGCAGACAGGATAGAAAAATTTGTATGATGGCTTAAATAAAAAAGGTGTAAATTCATAAACATCTAAATAAGGTTCTAATGCACATGTAGATTCTCCAAAAACTTAACCAACAAACAAACACAACCACACATACTTTATCCTGCACAAATAACATGACTGTAGCTCAGCTGGAGCTGTTCAATTTGCTGAATTTATACTGGGTTTCAGTTTAAGCATAAAAGAATGATCCAATCTGAAATAAGTTCAATAGTTTTTCCTAATCAAGATTAGAGATCAGATATTGTGTTATTTTAATGGCTCTATACATTTAATTATTGATTAAATACAGTTTAGTGATAAAATTAATTTCCATGTAAGGCCAATTCACAGACAGACATGTTTTGAACCTGCTGGCTTGCCATATGACTTGTCACACAACACAAAGAAAACAGCACTGAAGAAACTATGAAAAAAGTGTTGAGATGTTTATGTCTACTGAGATTCTACATGGTGCCAGAATTTACTTATTTTTGTTCTTATTTTCCTGCAATCAACTCGTTTCTGGGCTGCAACATTTGGCCTTTAGATGAAAAAAATAAAGAAAATAAACAAGTCCTGCAAATGAATAAATAAAAATGTCAAAGATGTTCCTTTTTACAACCATGGATGGATTTAACTGTGTCCACACCAAAACTGCTAACACCTAGTTTAAAGTCAATGCTATCTCTGTGCTTCATTGGCCACCAAACTTGCCGGACATAAAACCCAGAGAAAATCTGTGTGGTATAGTGAAGAGGAAGAAGTGAGACACCAGACAAACACCACTATCAGAGCTGAAGGCCACTATCAGACCTTCATAACAGCAGAGCCACTGACTGATCACCTCCATGCCACATATTATTGCTGAACTAATTCATGTTAAGACAGCTCCAACCAAGTATTGAGTGCTGTACATGTTCATACTTTACAGTAGTCCAGCATTTCTGTGTTAAAGTTCTTTTTATTGGTCTTAAGAATAATTTTAATTATCTGAGATTCAGAGTTTTGAGTTTTCATTAGCTGTAAGCCATAATAATCATCAAAATGAAAAGAAATAAACACTTGAAATAAATTATTCTGAGTGTAATGAATGATTAAATAATTCCCCAGCACGGTTTAATTGAGAAAATATCTTTTGCAACACATTTTTAAACATAATATGTTAAATAAATAATCTCTAATAACTCATGACACAATATTTTAATAGTTATTTTACAAGACACTAGTATTCAGCTTAAAGTGCAGTTTAAAGGCTCACTGGGTTAATTAGGTTAACTAAAGTTAGTTTAATTTAGGCAAATCATAGGACAACAGTGTTTGGTTCTGTAGCCAAAAAAAAAAAAAAAAAAAAAAAATCTTACAGGGCTAATAATAATGTGCTTAATTTGTTGTTTGTTTTTATCAAAAACTGTTTTCACTTCAGCCAAACTGAAAAATAAACTTCACTGATCTGATAAGATCTCTTAGATCATTGTCACAAAGCACAGATTTTCCATTAGGCTTTCTTTAGTCTTGTGTATTGATTAATGTAAATAAATTAAAAATTGTAAATTAATTATAAATAGCTCTAAACCAGCTACGTGTATGCTGGACTCAATTCCAACAAAATTACTGAAAGAGCTGTTACCTGCTATAGGAGAACCTCTTCTTAACATTATCAACTCTTCTTTATCTATAGGCCATGTTCCAAACTCTTACAAGCTAGCTGTTATTAAGCCTATTATTAAGAAACCGCAACTAGACACCAACAACTTAGCTAACTATAGGCCTATTTCTAATCTTCCATTTATGTCTAAAATACTAGAAAAAGTTGTTTCCACTCAATTATGCTCTTATCTGCAGACGAACAATATTTTTGAAGTGTTTCAGTCAGGTTTCAGGGCTCACCACAGTACAGAAACCGCCTTAGTGAAAATAACCAACGATTTACTCTTAGCTGCTGACCGAGGGTGCGTCTCGCTATTAGTTTTACTCGATCTTAGTGCGGCATTTGATACCATTGACCACAATATCCTCATAAATCGTTTAAAGTCTACAGGTGTCCAGGGACAGGCTCTACAATGGTTTAAGTCATACTTAACTGACCGCTACCAGTTTGTAAATCTTAATGGACAGCCTTCACAAATCTGCCCAGTAAAGTATGGGGTTCCTCAAGGATCAGTTTTAGGCCCTTTACTGTTTACAATTTACATGCTACCTATGGGAGACATTATTAGAAGACATGGGATCAGCTTTCACTGCTATGCAGATGATACTCAATTATATATTTCCACTAAACCTGACGAGACGTCTGAACTTTCTAAACTAACTGAGTGTATCAAAGACATCAAAGACTGGATGACCAACAATTTTCTTCTCTTAAACTCAGACAAAACAGAATTATTACTTATTGGGCCTAAATCTTGCACACAGCAGATCTCGCAACTCAATTTACAATTAGAGGGATACAAAGTTAGCTTTAGCTCTACTATAAAAGATTTGGGTGTCATATTAGACAGCAATCTAACTTTTAAAAACCATATATCCCATGTCACAAAAACTGCCTTCTTTCATCTGAGAAATATCGCTAAATTACGAAATATGCTATCCATCTCAGATGCAGAAAAGCTAGTCCATGCTTTTATGACTTCGAGACTGGATTACTGTAATGCTCTATTTGCTGGCTGCCCAGCATCCTCTATTAACAAACTTCAATTAGTACAAAATGCAGCAGCCAGAGTTCTGACCAGGTCCAGAAAATATGATCATATAACCCCAATTTTATCCTCCTTACACTGGCTGCCTGTTAAATTTCGTATTGAATTTAAAATATTACTTCTCACCTATAAAGCTCTAAATAATCTAGCTCCTGTTTATCTAACCAACCTTCTGTCTCGCTACGAACCAACTCGCTCCTTAAGATCTCAAAATTCAGGGCTTCTGGTAGTACCTAGAATAGCAAAATCAAGTAAAGGAGGTCGAGCCTTCTCTTTCATGGCTCCTACACTCTGGAATAGCCTTCCTGGTAATGTCCGAGGCTCAGACACACTCTCCCAGTTCAAAACTAGATTAAAGACCTATCTGTTTAGTAAAGCATACACTCAGTGCATCACCTAGCGGGTTCCACACTGGCTTCTACATCTTGCTTATATACACTATGAACAGCAGCTACGCTAATTATTCTCTTTATTCTCTATTTTCACCTGGGGATACTCATCCCGAGGTCCTCAGATTAGGCGGAGTCACTGATTGGATCCAAGACCAGCGACGTGATGATCCCAAGGATTCCATATCCGGGACCAGGCCATATCCTGAGCTGCTGCTGCGCTGATGGTCGTGGGGAGTGGAGAACATGAGTCTGATTCCAGCGACGCTCCAGGGACAGACGAGTCTTCATTGAGGCCATCTTCCGCATAAACCACGGCGAATGAATTTCTGCACAAGACTTTTGGCCAGCGGAGAAATTAAAATGGTCGTGCCCAACTGAGTCTGGTTCTCTCAAGGTTTTTTTTCTTCACTCCCATCAGGTGAAGTTTTTTTTCCCTCTCCGCTGTCGCCACTGCCTCGCATGGTTCAGGATTGGTAGAGCTACGCATCGATGAATTTGCTCTTCAGTGTTTGAACTCTCAGTAATGATTAAATCACACTGAACAGAGCTAAACTGAACTGAACTGAACTTAAACACTAAAACCTGAACCACACTGTTCCAGTTACTATGACCATTTATGTAAGCTGCTTTGACACAATCTACATTGTAAAAGCGCTATACAAATAAAGCTGAATTGAATTGAATTGAATTAATGTGCGCGAGGGCAACTATTGGTTTAATGAGGGAGTTTTCTGAGAGATGAAGAGCTGTAAAGTGAGTGTTCAATTACAAAAAGAAATGATTATACAAACTCAGTGTTTCCTTTTATTAACATTGACAAAACCATATTACTTTAAAAGAAATATGATTATCAAAGCATGTCTTAGAGCGAATAAGCCCAACAGGATTTTTATATAATCGCCTTTTACCTTAATTTATATATAAAATAAATGTTTAATTAGTAATCACTACTGATGGGTTAGATTTTCAATATTCAATATTGTTCAGTAATTATTCAGCAGTAATTAAACATCTCTGTAGCATTTCCTCCTGCAGATGTGGTTCAGTCAGTTCAGCACTGCAGGGAGCTGTCCATTGTGCTGAATTTACTCCACACTAAACTCTCTTCTCACATTAAATTCATTATAAGTGTCTGATCAGTGAACAGGATACTGTCATTTCTCAACAACTAAAGAAGGTCTAATGTAGAAATTAAAAGATAATAGGAAATACAAACAGATGGATTTGCTTTATGAAAGGAAATTTTGTTGAATGATTATTACAATTTGGTTTAAATGTTGAATGTTGCACTCGTATATGTTGCATTGCTCTGCTCTTCTTTAAATAAATCAAACCTCAGTTGTGTGCTGTTTACACTGTCTCTGATTCATGGCACGTGTTTTAATAAATCAGACTTTTGCATCTTCAGTTTCTCATCAATTCCAAGTCATGAAAATAATAAAAGCAACATTTACAGCTGCAGCGTGCACTAAATATTTTCTTACTTTTCTTATTTCTGTTTTTGTCTAACCACAGTTTATCTCATGCATTGATGTGTGTATTGAGCATGCAAGATCACCAGCTTGACCACAAACAGTTTTAGGACATTCAGTCTGTTGCATGCCTGAATAAAAACACTTGTGGTTTGTGTTCTCGCCTAGCTTTTCACAGCAACTGCAACATCACTGCACCAGGAGCGTCAGTAAAGACCAAGAAGAAGAAGAAGAAACACAGCACTGAGCCTGAAAGCTGATGTACTGTAGGCTGCAAGCAGAATCCTTTATGACCCAGAGATAATTTAATATGAAAAATGTATATCAATATAATAAATGAATCATATTATTAATCATATTATTCATTTTATAAATAATTTTTAACTACATTCAAAAAATAGAAACCTGTTTACCTTTAATATGTTTACTTTAATTAACTTTGATATATTTTTACTACTGTAAACTGGTGTATAAAATCAGGCCGCTTCAATGCAGACTTTGCACCCTTAACAGAAGTTCAGAAGCTCAAATCACATCAAATCATCAAACGTAATGACAAACGAGAGATGTTTTTCTGAATAAAATACAATCTTTTTTTGTTTTAATATAAATGAACAAGGCTAGATCGGTTAGGAAAATTCTAGCAAATGTACAAGCTAATTGTCATTACAGACCTTGTGATAGTAATTTAGCTTATTGAAAGCTGTATATTAGTGATGAAAAAAGCTATTTAGATTCATACAAACAGAAATAATGTATTTATAAACTTGCACCTTTCTGCTGTGGACGCCATCTTGTGGTCAGACGCGGGAACTCATTCGGCAGGTGAACTTTTGTGCTTTCTAGCCGTTGAGTGAACACAAAGTCCCTTAAAAAGCCTTCACATACATCCAAAATAACGAAAACAATAATAAAACTTAATAATATTAAATCTGAAAACAAGAGCAAATGAAAAGTACATAAATATGACTGAACCATGTAGCCTACCAGATGATGATACAAACGGCCATGTGATCTGAAATCGTGCGTAGACCATAGACTGTGAAATATAGGCATAGACATAGAAATGGTGAACGATTTAATTTACTTTCTATTATTTACAATAATAAACTTTTTTTTAAACTTATATTCCTAATATCTACGTGAGCAGTTAGCACTGTACGTGTAATTAACCAGCATGCACTTACATTGCTTGGGCCACTAATAGAAAATATATGAGTTAATTTTATTATTTTAATTAAATTAATTCCTAAATAGCTGTACATTTTACAAAGTCAAACCTTGTCAAACCAATCTTGCTCATTTAGCATTATTATTACAGTTTCGTGAATTATAAATTAATTGATTTAATTAAATTAAAAAAACTTCATTATTATTATTATTATTATTACTATTATTATTATTATAACTATGTTATTTATTATTATTAATTATTTATTATTTATATGTTGAGATGAATCGTTTACTCACGTGATTCAGATTGGCGATTCAAATTGTGGTTGCTATAGCAACGCGTGTTATGATTTGACTCCATATATAAACACCGAGACTCGCCGCTATCTGTTGATTGAGGAGAGGCGAATTTCTGAGACATTTGCTGAGGATTACTGTGCTGATACTGCGATTCTTCAAGGAGACCAGAGAATTTCTGACAGAAGACTTTAATTTTACAAGGAGATCGACGCTCAGAGCTGAAATTATTCCTTTTGACACGTTTTGTTGCTCTTTTGTTGTGTTTATTTTGATTTTGATCTTGTTTTTATTGACATTTTTATTGATATTTGATCTTTGTTCTTGTTTTCAGGTTTGCTGGAGTTTGGAGGAGTTTGTCAGATGGGTGAAAACCGCAGTGAGTGTTTTAGTTTTTATTTGTTTATGATCAATCATGATATGATGTTGTGTAATGTTTGGGGAAATGTGATGTAAATAAACTGGTACAAATGAACCCATTTCAACACAACTGTTCCCCGATATAAGTGATCAGATGTCTTTTATTCTCTGTAGATGCAGCTACTAAAGTTAATTGTTGATTAATTCTTATAATCTTATAATAAACGTGATATGTTGTTGTTGTTGTCGTTGTCTCAGGCCGCTCCAGATCCAGGAGTTCTGCTTTCATCCAGGCAGCTGTTCAGGACGTCAGGACACATGATGGTGATGGTGAAACCCAGACCGTGAGCCAAGAGCTTGATGGATTTCTCGCACCTCTGCCTTCCCTGTTGGCCAAATCTGTGTCCACAGATCAGGGTAACAGGAAGAGGAAGCGGCAGAGCGGCAGCCAGCAAACACCAGAAGATGAACGTCCGTCCACCTCATCTAGAAGAGCACTCAAACGCTCTCGCAGAGGTCAGAATGGCTTATTGAAGAAGTGATGATGATGTTTCAGTAATGCTCTTTTACAGTTTTCTCTACTGCTGCATGTTTTCTTTGAACACACATTTCTACTGCTCCTCTGTGTTGCAGACGCGTATGCAAAGGGCCCACTGCTGGGAGACGGTGGATTTGGCTCTGTGTTTGCTGGGATGCGCAGGTCTGATGGACTGCCAGTAAGTCGTTTTCTCCGCTCTTCATTCAAACAGCCTTTAGAAATCTTGATCTCAGTAAATGTGATGTGTGAGGATCAGGCAGGTGTGATTTATTATGCTTTATCTGTCTACAGGTCGCCATCAAGTATGTGTCTAAAGAGCGGACACAGAGGAGACTGAGAGTTGTGAGTTCAGTGTGAACCTGTTGTTGTGTTTGATGTTTCATTGGGTTCTGAATCCAATCGTTTGTCCTGCAGGAAGGTCAGGGTCGGCTGCCGCTGGAGGTGGCACTGATGACCCGCGTCAATTCAGCTCCTGCCTGCCCCAACGTCCTGCAGCTGCTAGACTGGTTTGACCGTCCCAGACGCTACATCCTGATCCTGGAGCGTCCGGATCCCTGCCAAGACCTCCAGAGCTTCTGTGAGGAGAACGGCTGTCTGGATGAGGGTCTGGCCAAGAAAGTGCTGGTGCAGCTGATCGCGGCTCTGAAACACTGCGAGAGCCGCGGAGTCCTGCACCGGGACGTCAAGCCAGAGAACCTGCTGATCTCCACAGAGTCCCAGGACATCAAGCTGCTGGACTTCGGCTGTGGAGATCTGCTCAAGCGCTCGGCCTACAAATACTTCGCAGGTGGGTTTGTGTTGCAGAAGGAAACACTCTGTGGATGTTTGTGAGCTTTTGATGATCCACCAAAGGGAATTTGTGTGTGCTGGAGTGTTTTGAACGGGTGTTTGTGTCTCCTTGTGTCTCTCAGGAACTATTCAATACGCTCCACCTGAGTGGTTCTGCAGACAGCGCTACCATGCGGGTCCAGCTACGGTGTGGTCAGTAGGAGTGACCCTCTTCAACATCCTGTGCAACCGTTTCCCCTTCGGAGGCTCACTGAGGGTCACGTCCAGGAGCAAACTGACCTTCCCCATAACTCTGTCAACAGGTAAGAGACTCACTGAGAGATCAGCAGAAGTGTGTTGCTCTGTGTTTCTGAACACGGTGTTGTGTGTATCAGAGTGCCGTCAGCTGATTGGCTGGTGTCTCAGTCCAGCGGCGGCTGATCGGCCCAGTTTGGACGATATTGAGCGCCATCCCTGGTTACAGTGAACAGGTGGCCAGTGACTTGACACTTATCTGAGTGACGCACTCATGGCTTTGATTGTGTTGTTAGGGTCAGTCTGGATTAATGATCTTAATGATTTGTGTAGGGTGAGCAGGAGTCACACAGGAAGTGCAGAGAACTGCTTCCTGATCACCTGCAGAATGAGGAGTGGGCATTAACTAATGGCCGACTCACCCAGGGCCGGGGCCCCTTTACCTGCACTAAGCCACCGCTTCAGATGAATTTAATGTTAATAGGGATTTTAATAATAAACGTATTATTTAGACAAATAATCCAGGTGTAGTGTCTTCCTAGAGTGACTGGAGAGAGCTCAAATAAAGGGAGAGTTCACACAGAAATCCAGATTTACTCACTGTTTACTCAAACTCAAGCGGTTTCAAATCTTTAAGAGTTTCTTGTTTTCTGTTTTGCACAAAATAAAATGTTTTGAAGAAGCTGAAAACCTGTAACCGTTGACTTTCATAGTAGCAAAAACAAACAAGTCAATGGGTACAGCTTTTCAGCTTTCTTCAAAATATCTTCTTTTGTATTGAACAGAATAAAGAAACTCAAACAGGTTTGGAGCAAGTGAAAGGGAGTTAATGATACAGAATTGTTATTTTGGGGTGAACTATCCATTTAAGTCCTCTTAATGGAGGTTTTCATAATGGTTTTAAAATGAAGATTGCAGCTCTACTGACTGAGGCTAAAGGTGTGATGAAATATTGTTTTGGTTGTTATTCCATTAAATGATTGTTGTTGTAGCAGGGAGATGTTTGTTTTGTGGCATGAAAAGAGTTTAAGAACTTCAGTTTTAGCTGGGAGTACTACTGCATATGCACTCATGTGATTGGCTTAAATTATATTAAACTGAGAGACCCAGAAACAACACTGAGTCCTTTCTGAGACTGCAAGTCAAATATTCTGAAAAAACATTTAACCTTTCTTAAATGTATTTACATTTTCAATCATTAAAAACTTACAATATTAGAATCAATGAAAATAGGATGCAGATGCCAGAACATTGTCATTAACACTCTTTTGAATCATATTTCTACTAAAGAACAATGACTTTAGTTTACTTTACTTTACATTCTGCTGGTTCTGACATCAGAATAAATACTGAAGTCTGAACTCTGAGCTCTTTCATTCCTCTGCCTTTGTTGCTGTGTGGAAGGCATGTCTAATGAAGCATAACACACTTCATCACCAGCCTGAAACAGAATATATTTAATTAAAATAATAAACAAATAAATAAACAAATAAATATATTATATTATATTGATGTAATTTATGTTGCTGCTAAACTATTGCGAATAATATATATTAAAATTATTCTCAAAATGTGCTCATACCTCAACATGTATGTTCTCAGCCCCAGAACCTACAGAAACTTAACAAAAGATAAGAATAATTTACATTTTATAATTTGAGATATACATTTTTTACGAATAGCTGATGACCTGTAGTTTTCTTCTGACAGAGGCAGTAGACGCAGATGGAGAAGAGGAGAACACACACCGAACACACACTGAACAGCAGATTCCAGCAGAAAACACACTCTGATGCAGGTGATGTGGAGGTGCTGTTAAACCGTTCAGCACAAGGAGACTCTTGCTCTAAAATGAACAACAGGCCATTATTAAAGTGAATATATATTTAGCTATTATATTCATTTTATTTTATCTTTACTGATTACACACAATAATGAAAAATATGATTTTAACACGGATGAATTTGCTAAAAGTGGTTGGAAAATCAGAAGTTAAAGATTCTAATATAAAAATACACTATAAATCATTGTTTTTTAATACAATGAATTTGCTGTTAATTTAATAAAAAATATTATTAGAAACTAAGATACACTTAAACTAATTATAAACAGACTTATTTTATTAATATTTTTTATTAAATATAAATTATTTCTGTATTTGAAGTTGGACTATGGCAGTAAGATTGTGTCACTTATTTATTTGCAGGACTTTGCATTAATTATCTTTAAAATTAATTAAAATAATATTAAAATAATAAAGCTTTAGGTAAACATGTAGACTTTTTATTAAAAATTATTTTATTAAAGCACAGCTACATTATGAAGAGATAAACTGTAATTGACACTATTATTATAATAAATGACAATATAGATTATACTGTAGATGTTTGCATGTCTCTTCATCAGCTGTATTAGAAACACATTTAAAGGATCTGACTACACAAAACAAAGCAATGAAAACAGCAGTTGTTTCTCACCCAGGACAGACAGTCTGCTCGTCTTGTTTCCATATTCATACTCAATGTTTGGTTTGATTCATCGTTCATCTTTATATATTTTTGTTTCTCTTTTCCCACAGTAGTAAAGTCCCTCATCAGAGACACTAACATTCTCTATATGCAGATCATAAGAGGACCGACATGCATGCACAAATAAGAATGTACACACTGGAGGCATGTCTAGGTGTCAAAACCGCAAATCATTTGAATACATTTGTGTGCTCACTACAAAAACTGCACACAATGCACATATATAATCACATGGCTGTGGTTTCCTGTGTTTCCTACAAGCAAAGAACTTACCTTAAAGATAAGAAGATTACAAATATGGTCGTCCTGTGTGATAATAATGGGGTCTCGTTGGAAAATGCAAAAGATTTAAAAATTGTGTTGTATTATTTTGTTATTATTACCACCACTACTAATATTGTCATTCTTATTATAATATAGTATTATAAAATTTAAAAATACAATTGACAATAATGATGAGGATTATTATTATTGAGATACTTTAATGTTTAACTTCAACTTTTATTTACTTTAATCTGTTGCACAATAAATGAAATTGGCCTGAAACTTTGCAGATATCAAACAAATACACTTTGCATACAGAAAGACAAGTTTAAAGATCAACAAAGGTGACTTTGAATATTTTTTGCTGTGGATTAAAAGATATTTTATAAATTAAAACACAGACAACTAACTTGGTGTTTAACTCAGAATGCTTGTTATGGGACGCGGTGAAATTACAAAAAATAAAATACCTCAAACTTGTCAGAAGTGAAAACTTATATTTTGTTAAATGATTGAATCTGCTTTTTATCCCTTAATTAGAAACACCATAACTAAGATAAGTAAATCACATATATGGACTGTTTTATTATATAATTTGTATTATTTTTGTCTCTTTTCCTTTTAATCAAACAATTATTTGTATTGGTCATGTAAGGGTCATATATTAACTGAACTTCTACTGTTGTGTGCGAGTGCTGTGCATACTAATTAGCATTTTTGCAGAAATAGATAGATGCGGGTCCAAAATTAAATTCAGCTCTGCAGAAACTTCCTGTCTGAAGAGAGGTGTAAAAACTGAACACAGAGCACAGAAAGTTGTATGCTTTTTTTTTTTGTTGTGCAGAGAATTCGTAGAAAAAGAGGAAGTATGTCTAAGGTGCGGCCAATGGAGGCCTGAACAATGACTGACAAATGACGAATTTCATTAAACCTCACCTGTTCTATATCAGCTGCCTATATAAGTTGAAGAAGTCGGGAAAAGAGGGTTGTTGCGCACCTCCCTAATGTAACTTCTGCATTGCATTGAGGATAACAGAATTCTGTGAATCGAATTATTAATTTGTATCCAATAAATTGTTACGATTTTTGACATTCAAGAAAAACCTCTCCTGACCTTTTTTCTTGAACACGCATGGAATTGATTGTATGTTCCAATGGGAATACCCTATGGACACAAAAGTTTATTTTTGAGTATTTGGTATTTTAGATTCTAAACACTTCCATCTTCATGCTCACTTGAATACTTGGTTCAAATAGGCCTACAGGAAATACTGCATGTTGTCATACAAGTAGTCAAGTGTAAAGACTGGAAGTGTGCTCAAGACTGAATTTCTGTCTCCATGTCGTGAACATCTAAGAGTAAAATAAAACTGCAGTTCCAATGATACTGATAAACAACCACAATCTCATGTTTAAACCTACTTTGTACTTTTCATTTTTATTTATTTATATGTTCATTTAAATTAATTCATCTCTTGAAATGAATATGTTCCTCATACATGTTCCTTATCTTTATTACAAGATTTATGATTTGCCAAACACAATTAGAGACACCCAATCAGTTCACAACATGAATTAATAAAACACATTCACTTGGTTTACAGCAGTCACATAAATGAAATATAAAAATGTGGAGTGTTTATAATTTTAAAGAAATGTTCACAGATTTTACATTGGCAAGCCCATACTGCCCCTTTAAGCCACTAGTAAAACTAAACAAACCGACGGTACTGATCACTAAAATCTCAGAGTCTCGGAGGCAAGTATATGAACAATGAGAAGCATCTAAACAGCATTACAAAGTAAAAGAAAAGGAACTTGCTATTTGTGCTGCATACTGAGAGATGCAGTAAATGTGTGCAGTAAATTTCTCATCCATCAGAGTCTACAGAAGAACTTTCGCTGTACATCAAGCTTTTGCAGACACTGCATGCATACAAACCAATCTGACCACAAACTCAGCACATGAGCATTTACACACACTAACCAGCCTCTGTCCGGTCCTGTTCATGTCTCATGCACACACGCACTAGGCTGAATGGAAACATTTGTGGTTAACAATAATCGTTTATAACACCCTTCCTTAACAATAATAAATCATATTAATTTTACAACACACAGACAGGACACTTGACCAAAACACGTTGATCATTTAAATATTTGATCAGATTTGATACAGGCTTTTGAATAAGAATAAATTGTAAAATAATGTATCTTATACTGAGGAACAAATTAATTTAGAATTTTTTTTGCTAATTATTGTCTAATGGTAAAACAATTCAAAAAATCAGATCAGTTTAAGAGAACTGCAAACACTTTAAACTAAACATCATTTCACACAGGAAACACACTTCAACATCCTGTCATTCGGACCCTTACAGTAAACCATTTTTAATACATGACAAAAAAAATTATAATGCAATTTAATAGAAAACAGCGTTGTTACTTTACAGGTTAGAGTTTGTCAGCAAATTAAATAATATAATAATAATAATAATAGGAAGAAGAATAACACATTTCTTATATTGTGTCATTTTATTATTGTATATTAATAACCTTGTATCATTGCATTTTACATGGTTAAATGAAAAGACATTTTGCTCACTTTTTTGGAAAGTGTAAGAATGCAGTCAGGGGTGTAAAAAATACTCAACTAGAAATTTTAATTGATTATTGTTGTACTTAAGTATTATTATTTTTTGTGACTATTTGTGCTTTTACTTGGCCACATTGCAAAAAAAAAACTGTACTTAAACGAAAAAATGGGTTACATTTTATTTTTCTTCCACCTATAAAATGAAACACGCACAATTAAAAATGTTAAAATTTTTAAAAAATCACGTTTTCTCAATAAAATGTATAGTTTTGTGTTTGAGAAAACCTGCTAATGACATTTCTTCCAAACAATATGTTATGCATAAAATATTAAAAAGTACCATATACTATCAGATGTGTTTATATTAATTTTAGAAGAGTCAAGATCTTCAGAAGAGTTGAGAAATCAGTATTTGTTGGACACACAACAAATGCTAACATGTTATTCCGACCAATCAACATTTTCTTGTTGTCTAAAGTAAAAATATTTTTGCTCTGAAATTTAATAAGAAACGTTATCAGATCTTAAAAGTATGAAACAAACAAAAACAATTCAAGTGTTCTCTTAACTTTTTCAAAAGCAGTTATCCATTAGTTGAATTAGCTTAGCAGAAGCACAAGACTAAATGCAAATGAAAATCTTTCATTAGAGTTTTATTCTACATTTTCCTCACATTTTTATTTGGTTGATGTACTTTTACAAATTTCTGCTGCATTCTTGCACTTTTAACTGAGTAAAACTTTGTACTTTTACTTAAGAATCATTTTGAGTAATTTTACATCCCTGAATGCACTTCAGTTGTTGTTTTTAAGCTCTATTCATTTTCTGTTCTGACCTGAGCATATGCACTGAAGTCTGAACACTGCACTCGCTTTGTCTTGTGTTGTTTCTTTCTTCTGGTCTTCACATCTAAAGACGCATAGCACACCTCTTCATCTTCACCCTGGAATAAAAAGTACATGACATAATATTCAGGTCTAAACCCTAAGCTGTTTTATTAACTGTTCTCTCCAATTATTCTTTATATATTACCTGTTTAACATTCTATAGCTTTTATCAAACAAACATTTTTCAAAAGCACATCAGATAAATACAGACTGAGTGTCCATAATGAACGTGAGTGTTTGTATTGTTCATACCTCAACTGTATTTCTTCTTTGCAGTTGGACTTTTTGATCTGTTGCAGCATCTAAAACCCAATAACATTAAATCCAGAAATCACTTACATGCAATACTTGAATGGTTTAATTAATAGTGCAGTATAAAACTGTGCATGCAGGCATTACTAATACAAGGTATGCAGACTGAGAAAGGCTGTTGATCTGTATGTTAAAATGTGGTTAAAATATGTGAATTACCTGTAGTTTTCTTGTGACAGAAGCAGTAGACGGAGATGGAAAAGAGGATGGA